TTTATTTATTTAATAATTTGTTTTTATTTCAAAGTCAATCATAATGCTCTGTTGGCCCAAATTACTGCAAGTCGGTGGAAACAAAAATTGATAACTCTTAAGAATAAACTGTGTTATGTTGGGTACTTTACCTTTTCCATGTAAGAATAAAACACATCCTCAGGGGTCAGCAAGCCTCCCTGCAGTTGCTTTGTCAACTCAGACAGGGGCAGCGTCAAAATGTGAACAGATTTGGTTGCTGGATGCTAGAAGACCAGTAACACACACACACACACACACACACACACACACACAGAGTCATTATGGAAAAGCAACATCTGTCTGGAAAACTAGTTCATGTGCTGGTAATTTACCTCCCAAATTATTTTCATTATCAGTTGAGCTGCTGATTAGTTTTTCTGATTAGGGCAGTCTCTGTGGCGTAACTAGTTAGCGCATTTTGGCTGTTAATTGAAAAGTTGGTGGTTCGAGCCCACCCAGGGGCGTGAGGCAAAAAGGCAAGCAACACTTTCTTTAGAGGTGACTGTGGTTTGGTGGGCAGAGCAGTTGTCTTGGAAGTTCGAATCACGGTGCCTGCAGTCCACACATTGAAGTGTCCTGAACCCCAAGTTGCCACCAATGGTTAGAGCCATTGGTGTAAGTTGGCGCCGCAGATGGCTGCCTCGGTTCTGTACCGGAAACAAATTCTTTGTGTGTAACATATTTGGCTATAGAAAGTGACTATTCCAACTGCTTCACGAATCCTGACCATCCCGTTGTCTCAGTTAGTCCATTTATCACTTGTTTATTAAATGTCAGTAACAAGTAGTTGTACAGACAGCTGTGTCCTCAGTCTACTGGTTTTGATTCGGAGGCTCCTGAAGCACCTCCCACAGGGCAGGAGGTCGAACAGTTTGTGAGCAGGGTGGGAAGAGTCCTTGAGAATGCTACGAGCACATCAGAGACCCTCATTGCTGGAAGTGGAGTCCCTGTGATGACCCTGTGTGGTGACCATTTTGTTTGAAATATGACAAATTTTTTGTAATTTTCAAAATAGTTGGAGATTAATTTTCTATAGATTTACAAACTGTTAGGCCTTTTCCATAAATGCCTTAAAATATTAAGAAATGCAGAAGGGTTAATAGCTTTAAGTGTCCCAATACACTCACCGGCCACTTTATTAGGTACACCTGTACAATTTTATGCAATGCAAATGCAACACTTCCACCTTAACATCTGTGTTTATGAAGCTCAAAATGTTTCAGCTTTTGGTGAAACTATCATAAATGTATAAATTCAATTATGTGCTTATTATTGAGGTCATAGGTAAAGGTGATGCTGTACTGGACTACATTATATTCAGAGGTGTTCCTAATATTCTGACCCACTCATGGATGTAGCTGGGGAGGACAAAAGGAGACACATCTGAATACAACATATTTCTGTCACTCAGGAGTACAGATGCAAAAGCTTCTGTTAAGACTATGATTATTTCTGACAAACAGAAATCCCCAAGGAGAAATGCTGCAACAGCAGCGTAGTAGAGGAGAGAATGCAGAAAAGCAGAACCACGATGGAGAAAAACTATGGTATAGTTTAGTAGGTTAGTAACAATGATAGGTTAGTAACCCCCCATCGCTGCCATGCCTTGAGTCCTTGATGACAAAAAAAAAAAGTAACGAGTTTGCAGTTTTGTTTTTTTAATCAAAAAACTGAAAATATCAGACAAAGTATTAGATCCACGCAGCTGAGCAGAGACAATATGACCTCATCACCATCTACAAAAACAGATTGTATGTCTGAATTCAGTGCAACAAACAACTACATTCTAAAGAAACAGCGCTGCAGCTTAAAACATCTAGTACCTGCTCATTAGATATTCTACCTACAATATTCTAGTTAAAAAGTGTTTTCCTTGGCAGTGGATCTGTTGTAAATGATTCACTCCTAATCAAGCATCTTTCCAGCATCATTAAAACTGCAGTTGTAAGACCCCTCCTGAAAACAGAAGCCTGGACACTTCAGCGTAAAGTTAACTACAGGCCCATCTCAAATCTTCTCTTCACAAGTAAGATTATTCAGAAAGTTTTTTTTTTTTTTTTTTAACCAAATCAACCAATTCTTGCAAACAAATGACATCTTGGATAGATTTCAATCAGGATTCGTGTCGTACCACTGACACTGCTCTCATAAAGATTCTAAATGACATTCACTTGAATAATGACTCAGGGAACTTAACAGTTGTGATGTTATTAGATCTTAGTGCAGCATTTGACATTGTGGATCATTAATTACTTCTAGACAGAATGGAAAACTGGGTCAGACTTTTGGGAACTGTCCTTAAGTGGCTCAGATCATATCTAAAAGACAGGGAAATGCAGTCGGTATTGGTAGTTATGAACTAGAAAAAAAAAACACAGCATGAAGTGTGTTGTCCAACAAGGTGGTTCCCCCCCCCTTTCACCTGTACATGCTTCTGTTTTTTCAAATTTTATAGGAATGTAGTGTTACTTATAGCTACACAGAAGACACTCAGATAAACCTAAGGCTCTCACCTAATGTCTATGGTCATATAGATGTATGATGTCTACTGTATGTCTTTGAATTGCTGCTGCATATGAAAATGTGCTATATAAATAAACTTGCCTTTCCTTGCCCAAAGATCCCTTAAATGTTTCATAGTGCCCATACATTGTTAAACTAAAGGTTGGAGGACCCATAAGGCAGTATAAGGCACAATACTGAAAAACTGAAATAACAGGACTCTACTACCCCAGGAGTCTCAGCCTTGAGGGCCCAAACTAATTAGTTCAAACGAGTTTATCAGCAGCAACTTTAATCAAATATTTACACATGGCCAACCAACACTGCAACAGTCTTAACTGTGCACAGTCCACACCATCCCTATGAGAACTGGTAACTCCTCACAAACCCCAGTTTAGCCAGTCTGTCATTTTAACGCCCCCTAACTCACCGACTCCTTGTACCGGAGTACAGCCAGCTCCGCCCGCTGGAGGCTCTCAGTCCTCCGGTTTCTGGCTCTCTGGATTTTAGCCTTCACTTCTTGGTGGCTAGTGATCTTGCGGGCCAGCAGCAGCAGAGCTCCCGCAGCGCACGCAGCGCACGCAGCACCCGTCAGTAGCACCGCCGTCCGTCTGTCAAGCTCCACTCGCTGAAGAAACTCCGTCACATTTACCATGGCTCTCCCTGTGTGTGTTCGCTGCACGGTGCACGTCGGCTAACACAACCACAGGGTGAATCGAGTCGCGTATAGTTACTGCGATGGTCACACACAGCTTAAAAGTAAAGATGGGCGTGATTACCCGCGCATATATGTAGCCTGCCCAAACACGGTTACACCCGTGACGTCAGAGCATCCTTTTCTAAAATAATATTTGTAAGGTAGCGGACGCCGTTTTTGCCTCAACTAATCTGAATGATCATAAACGATATTCCACTGCTCAGCCGATATATCAGTCTGTGCAAAAGATTTGTTTGCATAAATCGCCTGAACACAGGGATGAGTAAAGGGTGCCCGCCCACAAGAGGCGTGGCGTTGATGCTCGTCACGTGCTTCCTGAGTCATGTGACGAGCATCAACGCGACGCTGCCTTTGTGCGGCACCCATTCAGAAATGCCCAGTGCTAAGGTCAGAATCTAAGTCTAACCAGATCCAGAAATGGGGCAATAGACCTTATGTTAAAAATCATTTCCCAACTTGTATTGATATACTGTATATGGTCAATAAACTTGTAACACAGTAAGGATTTCACACCATCTGCTTTAATGAAATGTTGACTCAGACTACCCCGTTAAATACATTTCTTCACATGAGCAGATACAGTATAGTACACATTTAAAATTACAACATACAGCAGAACCATATATAGATGTATTTAATACCATATTCTCCTTTTATAGCAATATCTGAACAAAGTCATCAAACAGGAAGGACTTCATTTGACAGAATGGAAAAGTTTGTGTGCCACCTACAGAAGAAGACAGAAATTTGTTAATTTAACTTTGATAAAACTAGTGCTACAGTAGCAAAGCTGTTGCATGATTGAGAGAAGAACTTGTGAACCCTAAAGGGTATATTCTGTTATCTTCTCACTTGGCCCAAAATGGTGCATGTCACACTTACACAGTGGTCCCGAGCATGCAGGAAGTCAAAGAGCTCCTCAGTGCAATTCTCTTGCGTCGAAGACCGAGAGCCAACTCTGGTCTCACACTGCTCCAGGTGCTCCCGAGTTTGGACGCAGTGCTCTGTCTCTGCACATGTCTGTCGCACCGTTTCAATAGGATCCTGAAAGAGAATATGCAGCACTAACAATATCTTACACACATTGAGTAAATAATCAACTAAAATTATATCAGCTGGGAAAAACAGAATACTGGAGAAATGCCAATATAATTTATTAACAAAATCAGATCTTCACCAGATCACTAGACCTGTGTCAAGTCCTCTCCTGCTTCAAAGGCTCCACCATCATCCTGGTCCCCAAGAGACCCTCTATGAATGGACTGAATGACTATAGACCTGTTGCCCTGACATCTGTAGCCCTTTGAGAGACTGGCGTTGGCCCAGCTGGAGGACATCGTACTGTAATACCTCATGTGTCCAACACACCTAGCCAATAAAGCTGATTCTGATGATTATAATGGTGTACCGGATACACTGGCAACCGAGAGTGTATCTGTATAGAGAGCTTCAGGGGAGTTAACTTCCTTTACCCACAAAGACATACCAAAACAATTCACTTTTCTTTCAAGGTTTAACACTTCAAATCTTTGTGGGGATTAAAAGGCAAGATTTGAACATTTTTATACATAGAGAGAGAAAATGCCTCTCTATACACTATATAGAAAGTGTATTTCTATATAGTCCCAGAAGGAGTGGTCTGCAATGGAGAAAGTCCAAAACGCAGCTCTACTGTTACATAATTTGTACATCTTTGCCCCAACACCCCATTTTGCTTGTTAAGGTGAAGTGTTTTTCCTTTATGGACTATCAAACTGAAGCCCCCTACCTTGCTTGAATTTTTTTAGTCAATATTTAATGACAAATATTCATGTGGCCAGGCTTGTGATCAAACTGGTAATCTGACAATAGTACAAAGGGACAGTTAACATATTGTGATGCTGATGTGGATATCCAGTAAACATAACGTTACCACCATTTCTTGCTCTTCCTCTTCTTCCTCCTCCTAAAACAAACATAAACGACCAACTCAATCACATTATTCACTCCCAGCCGTTAGTAATTGAATTGAATACATTAAATCAGCAAAAGCCCACACTACTAACGACGAACTAGCATGAAGTTTTGATTCTGCAATGGCTTCTGAATTAGCTTCAAATTTTTTCTGAATGAAGGTGTAAATATTAGTAGTGGGTAATGCTAACGTTAGCTACCTGATGAGTTACCTAGCTTAGTTAGGCTGTCGTGTTAGCTTGCTGGCTAAATTAACCAAATGTTACTAGCATAGCAGCGTTGTCTTAAATCTGTAAAATAAACTAACATCATCGGGCTCTCCGTGCATGATCGTCTTCTCTTCAAAAACCATATTCCTGTACTCTTATCCCTAGGTGACCAGGATGACTCTTGACAGAAAACACTGCAGATCTTCTTCTTCTTCTTCTTCTTCTTCTTCTTCTTTGTTCTCTGTTGGCCAAGGTGCACACTGCCACCTACTATAATGGAGTGTGTAGTTATTCCATTATTTGAACTGCATTGAAATGCATTTTAAAATATCTATCCCCTTAAAGCTGCCTCTGAGTCTGAGAAATTTACTATCTTAAGTTCTATCCAATCCAATGCAAAACGTTTTTGCAATAATCTTTGCAGAAAAAAAACGGATACTCTGCCAGGTAGTTTATGAAATATAGTGTCACTAAATTCTGGTATGAAAATACCAATTCCTATATGTCCAATATCAGGATTCTTAGATCAGTCTGTATATATTATCATACATCTATAGAAATGGTTTCCTCTATAGACACAACATAACTACATAATCAGTGTTATCCATTCCTGACCAACTCAGCTTATCTGCAAGCAGTTGTAAATTAAGATAGGGATGATCCTGATTTTTATCTGACCCTAGTCTGGGAACCTCCACATCAGAATGATTCAAATTACGATGACAAAAGTATAAATTATGTTTTGGTAATATGGTCATTACATCAAAACAATCTTTATTTTGTTACATAATTGAAACTCCAAGCATAATTTATTTGAGTTTTAAATCACATATTAGATATTTTTTCATTAAATTATTATTCCATAATTTTTTAAGTGTAGAGCATGTTTTCAAGTTCTCAGTACAACTGTTCCATAAATTCACTCCTCTGACTGAAATACAGTCATTTTTTACACTGGTTCCTATCCTTTTGTTTTTGAAAGACACATTCTTCAAAAATTAGAGAGAAGTAAGCTTGCATCTTAGTGTTGACTTGGGTTTTCAGTGTTGCCCTCTGGCTAGCACCCCAAAGGGGATACAGAAAGTAATGTCCTGTGCACAGGGGTGTTACGTCTATATACTTTGATAGCACGATTATAAGGAGGGGATGCTGTTGTTTTTCTTGGCTCTTGGCTGTAAGCACCTTCTGCTTTCTGAATGCACTGAACCCTTTTATGAAAGTTTTATTAAATACCAAAAAGACAAATCTTGTTTTCTTGACTATATTATTTTAATATTTCAGTAACAGTTACTCACATACTATTTTGACAATATGGTCCATGGCAAATTAATCTGTAAAGTGCAGAAGTGAAGATCAATTTAAAAAGACAGACTGGGAACACTTTAGTGGCTGGTAAATGTATATTCATATAAGAATAAATGTCAATAAAAATAATCTAGCCTAAAATTACAGGAAATTAAGGAAATAGTAGCAAAAATATAATAATAATAAAAGAAATGATCCCTTTATTTGTCCAGTCCTGGGGAAATTTACACACACACACCAGTGGTGGTGGTGCTCTGCAAAGTTTTGCTCTGGCCGTCGGGAGAAACTTGAGGTTTAGCGTCTTACCCAAGTCTCCTTGGGTAAGACACTGATACAGTATGTGGACTAAGGAGAGCAGGAATCGAACCAGCAACAAAGACAACTGCTCTACCATAACTCATAGGAATAATATCTATCTATCTATCTATAGAGAGATGACTCTAATTTATTGTTCCCTTTTCTGCTGTCCTGTTGCACGGCAAAGGTCCAGTTTGAGATTAACAACAAGACTGGACAGTCCAGACAGCCATCCATGGAGGGCAGAGCAAAGCTGCCCTACACTGGCATTATCATCCATGAGATCCAGAGGATGGGCAACATAGGCTCCTCTCAGTGTGCCTCATGTCACCAACATAGACCACCAGCTGGGAGGCTACGCCATCCCAGAGGTCATTCCTCATATTTGTGCAGTAAAACAAAAAAAACGGTTTTTATATCACACATCATGTTGCGTGTTTATGAACTGTCAACAGGGTGTTATAGTAATTCCCAGCTTGGCCTAGGTGCTGTTTGACCAGAATGAGTGGGTGACGCCTTTCACCTTTAACCCAGGACACTTCCTAAATGGGGAGGGCAAGTTTGTGAAGAGAGCTGCTTTCATTCCTTTTTCTGCTGGTAAAAATGTTTTGTTTTACCACTGTCCTTCAGAGACCTGGAACCTGTCCCAAGTGACCCAGGGGTGTAGAGAACCCAGGTCACAGGATCATAGGTCCTTCCTGTGATGAATGTCACTGCACTGCCATCCCAGTTATTACTGACTTTATGTTTGTTTTGGATTTGCAGTGGTGCTAATCTGTTTTCATCATAAAGTATTTCTAGGAGGGAGAAATTGAAAAGATCATGAGTAAGAAGTGTTGATTATTAATGTGACTGTATCGGGGCCATACAGTAACTGTTACATAACATGGAATCTACATACAGTACTTATGGTCATCTGGACATGCTTTTAAGAACTGTTTCCTACAAAAAAAAAATTTTTTTTGATAAATTCTCGAATGCAGTAGAGTCAAGCAGTGAACTAGCACGCCTTATGTTCTTGAAAAGGTTTTATTTTCACCAGATGGCGCCGACAACCCTTTGTCCACTTTCACTGAAACCGTAGCCTACTTATGAAAACTTGATACCTGTTCTTGGGACTGCAGGAAACAGTTGCTCAGAGCTCAGAGCTCACAGCCCATAAACCCTAAGGATTTATTCTCAGAGGATCCAGAAGCCACAGGTTGTTAGGATGGATCAACTCTCCAGTGAGTCTCTTTCTTCTATGTGGCTGTGGCTGGATGGCCACAGTCTGCTCATGTTCATGCTGGTCTTCCTGGTGGTAGCTGAGTGTTTAAGGAACCGTCGGCCCAGCAGCTTTCCTCCAGGGCCCTGGGCGTTTCCTCTTGTGGGGAACATCTTCTCTCTTGATTTCAACAATGCCCATGAAGACATGACCAAGGTAGGGTGCAAGTAATGCATATGAGATGAGACTGAAAGTACAACTTATAGTTATTAAACTGCAGAGGACCCCACTATGGAAGTACATCCCTGCCAAAATGTTTGAAGGCTTAAAAATGACAAAAGTCAATAAAATCTTACAACCTTCTCCTGCTTTTTTGATGATTCTCTTGTTACTCAAAGTGAAAGTGATATACAGTATGATTATCTGACTTGTATTGTCCTGATGGCAGTTAGCAACAAAGTATGGGAATGTGTACAGCCTTAAAATGGGTCCCAAATGGACGGTGGTGTTGAATGGCCTCTACGCCCTGCAAGAAGGTCTACTCACTAAAGGAGACATCTTGGCTGACCGCCCAGTACTTCCAATCCATACTGATGTGCTGCCTGAACTGGGTACAGACGTATTTCCAACCTTGTAGATTAAAACTTTTCTACAGCAGTTCCTTGGTGTACATGGTAAAAGACTAGAGACATAAAATAGTGTTCAAGTAGAAGTGAAGAATAAAAAATTAAAATGCACCCCTCAGTTATTATGAAAAACCAGAACAGGTTCAGAGTATACAACCCCAAATCAGAAAAAAATGGTGTGCTATGTAAAATCTAAATTAACCCTGTAAAGCCCAACATATCAAAAAATAGCCAAAACATTCTAATTTTTTAGAACTGAGATGTTTATTAAACCTTTTAACAAAATCCAAATATAATTCATGATTTGAAATTCAAGATTCACGATTTTTATTTTCCATATATGCATAGACAGACAGTCCAGCCATATAGGAATAGAAATGCTATATTATTTAGATTATTTCTGTTTCTTTTGTATCACATTTGATACATGGGGCATTTGTTTTGCTCAGAAACCTCACATATCAAATATGATACAAATAGTTTTATAGGGTTAAAACTGTAAACAGTTATTTGTATGTCATCTGTGCCCTGTATTACATTGAAAACAATAGAGCAGCGTATTATTTGATGTGATACCTCAGTTTTATTTTGTTCAAAATAAACACTCATTTCAATTCTGAAGCCTGCAACACATTCCAAATAAAGTTGGGACAGTAAAGCGTTTACCACGCTGTGATGTCGCCGTTCTTTTTCACAACACTTAAAAGACGTTTAGGCACTGAGGACACCAAATGATTTTTAAATGTGTCAGGTGTCATTTTGTCCCATTATTCCTGCAAACAAGTCTTAAGGTGCACAACAGACCTGGGTCTTTGTTGACACAATTTGCATTTCAAAATACACACATTCTTTACTGAGGACAGGCAGGCCAGTCCAGTAGTCACACCCTTTACTCCATAGCCAGGCTTTGGTCATGTGTGCAGTATGAGTTTTACATTTTCTTGCTGAAATATGCATGAGTGTCCCTGGAAAGGATGTCATCTTGAAGGCAACATACTGTATGTTGCTTCAAAATCTCTCAGTATTGTTCAGTATTAATAGTGCCATCACAAAAGTGGAAGGTACTTTTGCCAAAGGCACCGACACAACCCCAGACCATGACAGAGCCTGGCTTTTGGACTTGTTGCTGGTGTGTTGTGAGAAGAAATGGCAACATCACACCATGGTGAATGCTTTACTGTCTCAATGTTTTTTGGAATGTGTTCAGAATGTGTTCAATCAGAATTGAAGTGAGTAGTTTGAACAAAGACTAAAGTTGATGAGGTATCACATCAAACAATGTGCTGCTGTATTGGCTTCGATGTAATACAGGAAATGAATGATTTACAAATTACTATTTGCAGATTTAATTTAGATTTTACATACTGTCCCAACTTTATGTGATTTGGGGTTGTATAAAATAACCTGCTATTTAAGAAAATACTGGCAAAAATATGATTCCACTTTCACACAGCAGAAATCACCATGTTGTATGGGATATGGGAACAATAAGAATTTTAAGGGAAAATCATAGATTTCTACAGCTAATTATTTATCAAACATTTTCTAGATTATTTTAATATGAATTACATTTTCTTATCAGGTATTATTTTTACTAATGGACATATGTGGAAACAGCAAAGGCAATTTTCCCTCTTCACACTCAAATACTTGGGACTGGGCAAGAAATCCCTGGAATCTGCCATATTGGATGAATTTATTTACATGTCCAAGGAAATTGCTCATCATAAAGGTAAAAAAACTATTGCATAAATCCATACAGAAATGCTGAGATGCAGAAACCTCTAATAAGTAGAGTGCAGCTTTTATATCCATCTCACCACACAATTTCCAAGCTGTATGTGTGACATGTTATTGCTTATGCATGCAGGCAAACCATTCAATCCACACATCATCATCAACAATGCTGTCTCCAACAACATCTGCACCATGGTTTTTGGCCATCGCTTTGAGTATGAGGATGAGAAATTTGTGAAATTGCTGAAATTGTTTGACAGAGGGACTCAACTTGAAGGCTCCATCTGGGCACAGGTACTGCATGGCAAAGCTATTAATGAATGCTTCATGCTTTGTACTGTTCTACTGTAATTCATGTATGTTGATGCAATTTTATCCTAATCAGTATTCACTGATACTTTGGTATCACAGGTTACACCATTAAGTGTTTGTTTTTAGAAATAGATGCGCTCTTGCTAGCAGCGTTATTTACAGTCTTATTATTGATATTGACAGCTGTACAATGCATTTCCCATGGTGATGAAGCATTTGCCGGGGCCACACCACACTCTTCAACACATTTATGGTGAAGCAGTAGCCTTGATGAAAACAGAAATCAAAAAGCACAAGGAAGGCCGGGACCCTTCTGAGCCCAGAGATTACATCGACTGCTACATGAATGAGATTCAAAGGGTGGGTAGACAAACTACAAGCAAATCAATGACACATATTTGATAAATGATTAATTGATTTCAGGAATTTTTCAAGTAAAAATATATAGTTAGTTAGTAATATATAGATAGTGCTACATAAGACAAATTAAAAACATGTCATGTGATAACAAAGTAACTTTGATAATTAATAACATTTTAATAATAAAAATTTAAAATGCTTAGAGCAAGCAAAAAGGCAGATACAAATACCCCAGGCAGAAAGAGCAAAAGGAGCAGGCAAACAAGTCCAAAGAACAGGTAGGAGCTCAACAAATGGGGAAGATAAAAAGGCTGGAACAAAGGTTAGAACTCTACAGCTGGTGTGGTATAATAGATGATCTGTCAACAAGCAGGTGGAACAGGTTTGAGTAGTGAGAGAACTGGTGAGGAGAGAGGGCAGAGAAGTGCCCTCTGGTGGCTGAATGGAGAATGGCATGAGCCAGGCAAAAAGACTCAAAAAAGTAGGGAGACTGTAATGGGACAGGTAGTAAACTTAATATTTTTGGTGGGTGGACAAAATATGCAGTCTTAAGATATTACCTTTAGGCTTCAGGAAATTGCAATTGGCAGTTTTTCTGTATATTCTGAGATTTCACTAACTAAAAAGCTAACTGACTAATCTCTCATCACACCCCTGATTTGTGACATTTTACTCACACTCCCACAAGTAAGGAGGTGGAATGGGTTTAAAATATTGTTAATTAGCTACCTTTACTCAAACTGATTACTCAAATGGTAGTTGTCACAATAAAATGGGCACTGTCTGACTAACTATTTGTGGTCATTGTGTTTTCCTGCAGAAACATTTATACTGAACTAGATCCTGCTTATAGAATAAAAATTTAACTACAAACTTTGACAATTTATTTTTTATATGAAATTACATGAACACATAAGTGTAACATAGCATTTCAGGGCACTGAATAAAATACAAAACACTCACCTGCATTAATGTCTGTGCAATCACTGTCTCACTGTAACTCAATGAGACTGTTAACGTGACACAACAATGCAGTTGTTGTACTCAACATTTTCTATGTACATTTAACTTTTCTATTTACATCCAATTCAAACTTCACATTTTGCAATATGCTAATGTGTATTTTGGAAACTGTCACCATTAGGCCAAAGAGGACAGTGACGACAATACTGGTTTTCACGAGGACAACTTGGCGATGTGTTTGTTTGATCTGTTTGTGGCTGGCACTGAGACCACATCCACCACCCTGCGCTGGGCTTTGCTCTACATGGCAAAGTACACTGGGATTCAGGGTAGGAGCTCCCACATTAGGTCAAGAAGTCAGTTAATTAAAGTTTGGTGCTTGCCTGAAATAAGTGCCAACATAAATTACAGTATCATTTTAACTTTAAGACTCAAATTTATTGTTTCCTTTTCTGCTGTTCTGTTGCACAGCAAAGGTCCAGGCTGAGATTGATGATGTGATTGGACAGTCCAGACAGCCATCCATGGAGGACAGAGCAAACTTGCCCTACACTGACGCTGTCATCCACGAGATCCAGAGGATGGGAAACATAGTTCCTCTCAGTTTGCCTCATATCACCAACAGGGACCTCCAACTGGGAGGCTACACAGTCCCAAAGGTCATTTCTCATACTGTGTTTTGTCTTGTTTCATCACATGTACACTGATTAATTATCATCACAATCCAATTTTCAGGGTGTTATAGTAATTCCCAACTTGACCTCGGTGCTGTTTGACAAGAACGAGTGGGAGACGCCTTTCACCTTTAACCCAGGACACTTTCTAAACGAGGAGGGCAAGTTTGTGAAGCGAGCTGCTTTCATCCCTTTCTCTGCTGGCAAGTACTACTTCACATTTTTAATGTCATAGATGAGATTATGCAGATTACAGGACAGATCACCTTAATACTTGTGGATTTTTATTACAAGTTTGATTTATCTTTCCACAAAATGTGTTAGCCTATTACTTTTTTTTTTGGAGGAACATAATCATTTAGTGTTTCTACATATGCCCTGATCAAAATTAATGCAGCAGAACCACAGATACCATCACCTCTATCTTACACATTCTTCTTCCTTATCAAACTCTGGTGTTTATGCATCTTTACTGCTTTCATCCAGAGATTCAGGTGTGTTAAGCTAGGAGCCACTAATGTATACAGGCAGTGCAGAGATGTTGCATGCTTAATGTTACATTTGTTCTATTGTTCTGCAGTAAATTATACTGTAAAACTCAATTATTTAACTTACCCACTAATTTTCATCCGTTAACTTGTTGTTGTGTTTTTGCTGCAGGCAAGCGGGTGTGTCTTGGGGAGAACCTGGCCAGGATGGAGCTCTTCCTCCTTTTCACCTCCTTCATGCAGTGCTTCACTGTCTCCATGCCTCCAGGGGTAAAGCCTGTGCTGAAGCCCCGTTTTGGCATCACTCTTGCACCAAAGCCCTATGAAATCTGTGCCACCTTACGTGTGGTGTGATTTTTCTCTTCGAGCAACACTTTCCTGATAAGATATTTTTGTACTGTATATAATGCATTATCCTAAGCTCTTCAGATATATTCAAGTGCATTATTTGGGACAGTGTTTCTGCCACTCTACAATTTTAAGTCCAGTATACAGTCTCCTTTTAACTCTGCCTTGGTCTACACAAACAACTGAAAAACCATTAGGATCTTGAGCTAAATGTTTGACTTTCTTCACCAGCTAGGCTAAGTTAACCATGACTGTTTGCCATTTGGTGCTAGCTAGGGTAAACAAGCGGCTATAGTAAATTAGATGAAAACGCTGCATAGAGATTGTGATTTTGTCACTTTTTGATTTATTATCAATCAAAAAAAATGAGTAGAGTTTAAAGTAATACCAGTCATTTATAGATGTGTCTTACTAAGGTGTTGGGCCACCAGAACAGCTTCACTGCTCCTTAGCAGAACAGCTTCACTGCTACTTAGAATTGATTCTACAAGTCTTTGAGCTGTACCTGAGGGATGAACACCATTCTTCCAAAAAAAATAGTCCTGCATTTGGGGTTTTGATGATGCAATACAATATACTGTAAAACGCATTCATGAACCTCTGTGCAGGTGAGAAGGCAGACATCAGTACTACACAGTGATAAGGAAGCACTGCAGTTCTTTTATACCAGTTTAAACTGGAGCAAATAAAATGTACACAGAGTACTGCTATTGTGAGCTAACATGATTACATTTAGCTTTAATTAGAAATGGTCAGGCCCTATCATTCAAGCTCAATAATATGTCCAGTAAATGTGTGATAGTTTATTCTTACTGGGAATATTCCTTGATGTGAACTGTACAAACTTTCACCTACAGTCATTATGATTAGGCATTCGCTGACACAAATTCACCGATTGTAATAATAACACTAACACTGACACCATTATGAAAAAGACAACAAATGTAACATTTAATAACTTTGAACTGCCATATACAAACACTACAATTATGAATCCATTGTAGATTTTATATACCAAAGGAGAAAAAGATAATTGCCCACACACATCAGAGACTAAATAAACAGCCTTTATGATACAATCATGTGTCCATTTCATTTCAACAGAGAGGCTTGATTTAATGGTGAAACTGGCCTCAGAGAAGCCACAACACCCTCAGTTACATTTCATTTTACAGTTAACAGACTGCCTCATTGTGCTTCTTGTGTGTTGCCCAAAATGTTGTCTAGTGTGTGACGTTTCCTTGTGACAAGGAGCTCACCTGCTCTTCCTCTCTGGACACTGGATTTTATAGCCCACCCTGTAGGCTTGCACATACACACGTGCCTGGTTTATCCTGGAAGCACAACCACACAGCAGACACAGCTTTGTCTCACTGAATTGTAATTATACTGTGATGTAATTAAACATTTTTACAACAGTTAAAATTTTGGTCCACAAATGCTACTCTAACACATCTATATTTACTGAAATCTATTTATCAGTACTTTTATGATGTGCTTTTAAGTATTATTTCAGTAAGTACTGCATATAGAAGAGTAGATGAGAGGAAAGTTCTCTGAAATCCATTTATTTTTCTGTGGCTGACACTAAACAATCCTGTATTAAACCACCACACTGCTACTTCAACCAAATGACACCCACTCTGAGAATGTAGTAAGAACACAGGTAACCTGTATTTAGTGCAGAGCTGAACTCCCAGAGGTCCACAGCGGTCAACATAACTCTCCCTAGAGGCTTTTCTCACCGCACGGGCCATACCAACCACCATGGTGACCACAGGGCATGTCCTAGTGCACAATGAAACAAACACACAAATCCATGAGAATAATGAACTGTATATTAATTAGCAGGTCTATGCTTGGCGGTTGAACAAGTAACTGAATGACAGTAATGATTATGTCTGAAAAAGAGTCACTTTTGACCTGTATTGTTGTTTTAAAGCAGAAACAGTTTTTGTTCTTCTTGCTACACACATTTAAAAGACATTTGACCTTCAAAACAAACAGAAATGACAAAGCAATATCACTGTTTTTTTGCTTTACACTAATTATCTTGAATCTAGGCTTGTTTGTTGCTCCGCAGCTGCTGTTGTCATCCTTCATACTCACAGTCTCTCACAGCGCAGGCCAGCAGTGCCCTCTGGACAGGTACAGGTGTTGCGAGGGCTGCAGGTGGCTCCGTGTTGGCAGGGTGGCACGCAGGGTGTGGTCACCGCTGCAGACACAGCACACAGCAAGAGTCTTAATGTAAAGAGAAGACAAAGGTCTTTCACACACAAATACATTTGTCTGTCTATTATGAGAAGAACACTCATTGACATAATGCATTCCCTAGCCACGTTCCTTCATCTAAATATCACAACTAAATGTCTAACACCCAACCTGTACTTAAACTCTAACCTAAACCAAATTCTAACCATAACCCTAAAACCAAGTCTTGATGAGACTATCCTCCTGTAACATCCAGCATACTGTAGGTGCCAACAGGGTATTACGATGAAATGTTACATGTTGGTGACATCTAGCGACCGCTATTAATTATAACATGAGGAAAAGAGCAAGTATATACAGACTCAAAGATCACATTAGGTGGATGGCTAGGTTTTTGTGCCTAAATCTAGCTAATAATTTTTGTTCTTAAACCAAAACTAACTTTTTCCTAAACCTAACCAGGTAGTTTTTGCCAAATCAGAAGTGTTTTGTGTGGCAAAACCTAATGAAACTCTGACCGTTTCATAATCATGGCATCATATTTATGACAGTTTCCAAGATGATGAAGTTCCAGTAGCTTGCCTGCTAGCTAGCCATCACATTTATGTTTCCATGACAACAAAGGTCCATAAAGCTTGTTAGTGTGAAGTATGTTGTCTTTAATTTTGGTGGGATTGTTTCAATTTCTCCCATAACTGTAGGAGCACTATTTAATGGTATGCCCCTATGGGTCGTATGACAGGGAAAGGACAAATGTCCATATGGGTCGTATAGGTTGGAGGACTTGTTGAGAAATGTACATAGAACGATGGTTTCAAACTAAAATTCATAGAAAGACATGTACATACACACCCAGACTGACCCGTTTCACAGGAGTTTCCAGTAAATCCTTTGGTGCAGTGGCACCTGTTGAAGCCCACACACACACCACCATTCTGACAAGGTTTTTGACACTGAACAGGCTCTGAAGGTGTCAGAGAGGAGAAAAAATAAACAGAATCAGCATTCCATCACAGCACATCTCTACAACATAGTCTACACACACTGAACATTAACTAATGATAGAATTTCACAGAACATCTATTAAATTTTAGGTTGTAAATCCAGCACCCTTTGAAAAGATAGACATGCATCAACTTTAGCTCTTACAGACTCTGCTATTGCTCTAGTATCTACCTGGTGAACTGCTCATCATAACGCAGTAGTTCCCAAACTTTCTGGCTTGTGACCAATTCAAACTAATGCCCAACAGTTTGTGGGCATTTGCTTGGTCTAAAAATAATTGTTAAAAAAATGCCCATCGCAAGTTATGAGAACTAAAGATGGCTTATTCAAAATGCTTATTTTGACTAGACAAAATGAAGATATTCAGTTTTTTATCACATAAGACAAAGAAAAGCAGGAAATCTTCACATTCGAATGCCTGGAACCAGAAAATATTTGGCAGTTTAGTTTGAAAATCACTGCAACCTTTAAACAGTTGTCAAAGTAACTAATTGCTTGCTGCTTTGTGTACCTTGTGCAATAATGGATCAATTCACATGACTATATTTTACTGGCAGTTACTGACTATTACATTGCTTCATAAGTTTTAATAAACTGAAAGATGGGTTAAACTGGGTTGTGTATAAAATGCTTGCTTCCTTTAATATTACAGTTTTATAACAATGGACAAATGCAGTGACAAGGTGTGTAATCTCACCTATCTGACAACGAGCTCCTTGCCATCCAGCAACACACGTGCATTTGTTGACATCCACACAGCTTCCCCCATTTTGACATGCAGGAGTGCACAAGGCTACAAAACAGATACACATACAGAGGCAGAGGTACTGTAGGTCTATGTAGGAATTTACACTTGTAATATAGTTATCCAGTCCACAGATGAGCTTTTTTTGTTTTTCCCATCAAGGTTTGAGCCATATTTTACCAGGCAGAGCTCCTAACATGCCTGGAAACAGGGAGGGAGACCTGACAGGCATCTACTGTAGCTACAACCCAGAAGCACCTGCATGCCTGTTGTAGCTGATGCCAGATGTGTTGATGGTTTTGTTACTCACGCAAGAGGCACTGGGGTCCAGTATAGTCAAAGGGACACTGGCAGGTATCAGGCCCCACACAGCGACCACCGTTTGCACAGGGCAGCTCACACAAAGCTGAGAAATACACAGGGAAAGTCAAAGCAGGACAACAAAAGAATTATAATTTTTAACTGTAGGTTAAATCAGCCTGGGTGTCAGGTGATCATTACATTAATCCACACAAATACTGGGAAAAAAAACCTTGGACAATAAAATGTATCATTTTATATACTAGGCTAACACAAATTGTACAAAAGTGTACAGATCATGTTTAATTTAATGATTCTTTGATAGATTAACTTGTTGTGTCAGTTTTAATCAAATCAGGGCCACCTGACTGCAAATTACCAGGCTGCCTTCTGTTACAAAACTGTGGTAGTCTTGATTAACCTTCATGTCAGAGATGATCTACCTGTGTGGCAACCTGTTCCTGTCCAGCCAGCAGGACACAAACACTTGTTCCAGCGCATACAGGAACCTCCATGGGCACAGGGCGGAGAGCACATGGCTGAAACACATGACCAACATGGACATCATTCACTTTCATTCACGCAACAAGAATGTTAGGCTTTGCATACCAACATACTGACTCCCAGTCTGGGTTCTCTAATCACCATCTTTGAAAATCAAGTCTCAATATTAAACTCAGAAAACATATGCAAATGAAACAGAGACAGACACAAAAACAATCTGTAGATTTTATATTGAGGTGAAACTTTAAAGATGATTTTTTGTGAGGCTTTTTTATTCCTCGATATTCTGTCTGCAGGACTCTAATATTATGTAGAACTGTCACAGATATATGTGAATATGACATTTCATATTAGAGTCTCATCTCTCTGATCCTTTCAGTCATTTTCATGGCATATACATCTGAAACCTTTGAGATATGATGCCTCCTTGCCATCTCCCTACTCATGATCATGAACAGATCAGCTAGTGTTAAAGAACTGTTACTAATAGCGTGTTTTGTTTTTATTTATCTGTGGGTTGGGATGAGATTTACAACTCTTCATCCTGTGATGATGGCTCTTACTAATATAATTTCATTCAAACTAAATGCATAAGAGCTAATGATGGTTCTGATGCCAGGTAATGCTTAAAACAGCAATGATTCTCTCACTGTGTACAGGCTTTTTGAGACTCAGCACCAACTTGTCAACAGTCTCAGTCACTGACTGTATAAATATGGATGATGCCTCTCCACTATACAAAAGTGAAGCCAAAATATTGTGAAGCCAAACTGTTGTGAAAACAGTGGTTGCCATCTTTGCAACCAGACCCTGCGCAGTAGTGGCCGAGTGGTTGAGTAACATATCAGGCCGCCAATCAAAGTTGTCCAATCATACGAAACCCACCCCTTTTATACCATCAAATGACTTAATAAAAACATCTTTACTAGAAAAATGACCACTTGTGATATATCTACCAAAAATGACAGAAATCACCTCTGGGGAAAATGTATCTGATTTGTACTTTGAGTTTTTAGTTTGGCTCATGTCCCATCCACTAAAGGAGGCAGGATTTATGACCTACAGTGCAACCAGCCACCAGGGTGGAGATTGAGTCGCAGTGGCTTTAGTTCTGGGAGCTGTCATGGCATCCATATTTTAATACAGTTGATAGTTTCACTGCAGAGAGCCAAGTACATATAATACCAATTCATTATCTCGTTATTAAGAACCCAACCACCATCTTAGATAATGTACTGGCACTAATACTACCAGAATATTACCATGACACTAACATCTCCATGTTATTCACGTACAAGTTGAAGTTTATACCTGAGCAGCCTACACCAGGGTATCCTGGAGGACAGTCACAGCTGTTTGGGGCAACACACACCCCATAGTTCTGACATGTAGGGACACAAACAGCTGCAAAGGGAGGAAACTTCATCAACATAACTTCATATTTTTAATCCTGTATAAAAACCTGAATAAAGCCGTTATTTTTGCTCACTGTTGTTTTTTTTCAGATTTATTCAACAGAGGGAATGAGATGCATGCTGTTTAACTCACGCTGGCATTTAGTGAGGTCGTCTGTTCGAACTTCATACCCCTCCCTGCAGGTGCAGTTAAACCCACCAGGATGGTTCACACAGAGCTGCTCGCAACCTCCATTTGTAAAGTCCCCACACTCATTTATATCTCATGATGAAAAAAAAAACAGAGGGAGAGTTAAAGAGCAAATCACTTTATAAGACAGTCTGTTTATTTCTCTTCAGAAAGAACGACCAGGGAAACTTTGTTGTGTGCATGGGCAACAAGTTTTTGAGGCCCTTTTATCCCCCAGCTGATTTACTTTTTTTACCAATATATGTTTTTAAAATAAAAAAGCCCATCAAACTTTGACCAAGAATTCATATCGAATAACAGAAACAAAATGGCAGTGAAAATTAAGCCTCACCCTCGCAGCTCCTCAGGTCCTCGTCTAACTTCCAGCCTGTTCGACAGCTGCACTGGGCGTGACCCTCAGCGCTCATGGTACATATGTGGTCACACCCACCATTTCTCAGCTTACAAGATGTAATGTCTGCTCAAGTGAGAAAGAAATGAGACTAAGTGATTTTAACAATGTTTATCATGGAACTGAAAAGATTTATTAGTCGATTGATAGAAGGATAATCTGAAAGTGTCTGTCCCTTTTCAAGCAAAAATGCCAAAAACTATCAGAGCCTGTCCAGCTTCTAAATTGCAAAGTTTGCTTATTTCTTAACAGACTGAATATCTTTAGATAAACAAGATATCTGACATATTATAGGCCAAATGATTAAAAGAGTTTATTTGCAGAAAATAAGAATAATTTTTAAAAAATCAGTAGTTGAGGTCCTAATTTTGTACATCTAAGATGTTAAGTTATATGAGTTGTATATACATTTTTAAAATCACGGACTATCTTACTCATTAAACTAGAAGCTGTTCTTCTCAGAAACACAGTTGCTGAGCATAATTTGCCAGAACTACTATTTGTAGCAGGTATACCCATACATTTATATGAGACCTATATTGTTAGAATGACTAGTCTGTGTATGTGGAGCATTTTTAACATCAACATATCTGTCAAATTAATCGTGCTATCCGGGCTACAGTGAGATGTTCCATTTGGAAAACAAAAACTAATGAGACCATGTAAAAATAGTCTGGCTTGCTATTTGTGAAGTTTATAAACTTTAAACAGGTGCATGTGTCATTGCTTAGTGAAAATCGAACAGTAATATACATGTTTGAACTTAGACAATGCGATGAGGGACTCACTGCTACAGGTGAGGTTGTCTGTGGCTAACAGAAGAGGAGGAGGGCAGTTGCAAGTGTGTCCTCCAGGAGAGTTGGTGCAGGTGTGAGAGCAGCCACCATTCTGGAGTTTACATTCATCAATGTCTGAGTGGGTGCATACACAGAGACACAAGGTAAACAACTTTTTGGAAGCCCCTTTGTTTTTCTTGTGCAACAGATTCCAAACTGAGTCTGGCCTGCCCTCTCTTCCTGAATGTCTGGGTTAGAAAAGATGCACACAAACAAACACCAACACTCACACAATGAGGCTGTGAGATACCATATTCATAGTCGGTTTTGTCTCGTCTGCATAATGATGCTCAGTTTGTTTAAACAACTGAAAATTAGTGGGTAAACATCAGTAAGAAGTAAATGAGTGACTGACCCACACAGGTACGGCCGTCAATATGAAGTTGGTAGCCGGGCCGGCAGGAGCAGTGGAAAGATCCCAGAGTGTTGGCGCAAATGTGCTCACAGGTCCCATTCGATGCCAAACACTCATCCACATCTGGGGGACCAGAAACATTTAGTTCAGCAACAGTTTTGACATGGAAAACCCTGGCTCCGTGTAAAGGGCTCAGTCAGACTTGGGTGGTCACTATATGAAATTCACTTTAGCACTTGTTTCAACAAGCTTGGAGGACCAGGCGAGTGTGCTTTGCAGCAGAGGACAAAGCAATAAGTGGCAGCCTTGGATGAAGGAGCTAAAACTTCCATTGACTTTTAAGGATGACATGCTGCCTTCTACTGGTGAGATGCAGGGTGACAGTGAACTCCACCTAAATAAAACTTAGGGAAAAGACTCATTTTATAGGAACAAAGGCTTCAAATTCTTTCAGAGGCTGCAGTGGTAATTTAAATTTGTTAATATTTCTTCACAGTATAGTAACATTTAAACTATTATATTTGAACTATTATATGAGAATTCATACCACTTGTCTCCACACAAGAGACCCTATAGCTTACCTTAGCATAATGATTAAAAGGAGAGGGAAACATCAAGCCTGACTCTGTCAAAAGATTTAAAAAAAATCCACCTACTAGCATCAACGTCCACAGTGTCTGTAAACAAAGACAAGCTTCACCCTGGTGTGAGGTGAGGTGAGCAGTGGACCTCACAGTGCTGCCATGCATTGTTTGTATGACACAAGTATCACTGGCAAGCACTTAGTGATAGTGAGCACTACTAGTGGCACACGCATATGGAAAACAAAAACACACATAGAGTACATCCTGCTTACCCACCAAAACAAGAGTGTCCATCTCCATCAAAGCCTGGGTAGCATTGGCAAAAATATGATCCAATGATATTGCTACACCGAGCATTGGTATCACAGCCGTGAGCACCTGATGTACATTCATTCTCATCTAGAAAGAGAGCGTGCACAAACATTTTTTTAAACCAGACCCAAAACTCACTTCATTTCTATTCAGTGAACATTGTTCTGCCTCTCGGGAGAATTTTAATGGAAGGCATAACAGCAAGCATTAAAGCACTTGCATACAGGGAAGCTAATCTCATCTACAAGAAACAGACTTTTCCCAGGGAGGGACGTCGGCACTAATTGCTTACCTTCACAGTGTGTGCCGTTTCCCCGGTAACCTGGTTGACAAACACACTTGTAGCTCCCAAGCGTGTTCTCACACACACCCTGACCATCACACACTGCAGGACTCTCCAAACATTCATCCACATCTGGGACAGAGATGAGGAACAGAGCAACAGGGTGGTACAAACAGTGCATGACCTTTTCATTGACTTATTGCTCTGTGATCATTTGAAAGGAAACATGTCATTGCCAATTAAAAAGCAAACGTGCAATGCATCTCTTTAATTTGACTATGAGCAGAGTTATTTCAAATTAGGCTTATGATTTAGGGAGCAGCATGTGTTAAGCATTGAAAGCAAAGCATCATACCTTGACACACAGTGTAGTCTGGACACTCAGGACCTGTAGAGGGGCAGAGATCAGCAGAAGAGCCACACAGATAACAGAGGGGACATGTAAAAAAGAAAGTGAATAGAGCATTGGGAAGATTTTAGAGGAAATGAGTCATTAAAGGAAAGGTGGCCAGAAAACAAAAGCAAGGAGTAATAACAAAGCATCCAGGTTAAATTTATCCATCTTTGCAAAGCCTACCTTCCTGTCAGCACAAGTTATTAACTTTGGGGCAACTCTGGTGAAATATAGGCACTCAGAACACCAGATCAAATCTGGACATCAGTCGTGTCCAGTTGTGGTGAACGACAGACTTACCAACACAGGTGGGGGGCTGTGCTCTGAAGCCCTGCTGGCACTGGCAAACAAAACTACCAGGAGTGTTTATGCACACATTTCCCAGCTCACGGCGACACTGCTCCTCGAAGCTGCACTCATCCACATCTACAAAGGCGATAAACGAAGCATTATGAGTATGAAACTTTCAATTCACTCATGCCATTTGTTTGTCCTGTGTAAATTTTTCAGTGTGAGGTACATCCATCAGGCTCACCCTGTATGGTTTATAAAAGCATGTGAGTTTTTTTTCTGCAATTGCTGTTTTTCATTCTGTTAGTATAATTATTTGTTGCAGGTAGACTGCAGTAGGAATGAGATTAAGTTAGTTTTGTTTAAATTTTAACAAGAAGAAGTTTGTGTTTTCCATTTCTTGTCACTGTATTTGCTCTGAATATAGAGCACATACTACAGTAGACAAAGTCCTTCTAAACATTCAGTACATTTTCACTCCACATTCCCTGAACATACATACCAGACATCAACATCAGCCTCACCTACACAGCGTTGGCCATTTGGCTCCATTACATATCCTAAAGGACATGAGCAAGTGAAGGAGCCAGCAGTGTTTTTGCATTCAGTGTCACTCTGACAGGGTTGCAGGCCTGTCACTGCAGCCAGAGCACATTCGTCCACATCTGTAAAATCCATATGGCACACATGTACTGTGACTGTACTACTGAACGGTACAGATAATAATTTCTCAATCTCTCCTTCCAACATGCTCTCACACAAATACAGTATATCCTCTGTGCATCATACAAAACAGATGCTGACAAACCTTGGCACCCTCCAGCACCCATCAGGTAACCACGGAGACAGCTACATGAGTAAGAGCCAGGGGTATTAATGCAGCTGGCATGGAGACCACATGGTGCAGACCCTTCTCCATCACACTCATCAACATCTGTCAGGTAGACACAAGATAATACACTGCTTCTAACTGATTCACTGCATGCAAATAAGCAAATAAGCAAAGGAAAGGAAACACATTCAGCTGTCAAGGTGTAACATGGTATATTTATTGATAATATTAATTACAGAATGGTAATATTAAATGCATAATTGTTTTAGTCTAGCTGAGAGAAATGCTAGCCTTCTTCTCATGGCTGATACAGCTAATTAAGGCCACATTTGCATTAACACAAAATAAACATTTTTGTTTTCCTGTAGATGTCTGAAATAATTTTTCCTTTGCCCTTTTACTCAGTTTTGTTACACAGAACACTTAAGTTCCGGTTACTGCAGCTAATTCTGGCCCTTCTCACCTTTACACTCTGCAGCTCCCTCCAGAGTGAAGCCCACAGGGCAGGTACAGTTGTCACCGTCCTTGACCATGCTGGGCACACAGCTGCAGCCAGTGCTGCCCTCCAGCATCAACTGGTTTCCTGGACACTGAGGAGCAAGACTGGGGCCAGGAGAAACTGTGGCAATCGAAGGAGCTGCTAATGTCAAAGAAAAAGGGCAGTTTTTGGAGAAACTAAAAGGAAAAGAAACCAAAAAGAAACAGCATTAAAAACTCACATGTGGTAAGCATGTGGCTTGGTATAGGTTCAGGAAGACTTCCAACAGCATTCTTGGTAACCTGATTCTAAAAGAGCAACAAAACGAGTTTCATTAATTAATGTCATCACATCCAAAAAAGGACATCTGTAGTGTGGAAAAGTGAACAAGGGATTTTCTTAAGTTGATGGTCACTGGCCTGGCTTTTGATGAACTCTGCCTCTGCCTGTTTCAGAATTTCGATTTCAGTTTCCTCAGAGCTGCTCAGAGGTTGGGCCATAGACAAAACCAGCAGCAGGGCTGACAGGAGAGTCCAGAGGGGAGTCATCACCTGAGTCTGAGTCAGAGCAGGAGAAGATGTGTTTGCTGAGCCATCATCAAGCCAAAAAACTATATATCACAGAGCTTAATAAGGGATAAAATGAGACATTACCGAGAGTATGGGGCGATTACTGTTAAAGGGGCTCTGTGTAGCAGTCATGCAGTGCATGTCTAGGCAGGCAAAACAAGAGAGGGTAAAGCGCCCTGTTATTAAGTTAACCCCCCCCAGGGGCTGTCTGCACAGAACAAAAGAAACCTAAAGGAGCTGGAGCTGCTAGCTTCTTGTTCTACATAAATTTAGTTGTGTGCGTTAAATTACTGTAATTAATAAAAAGAAAATTTAGCAACGATGTTTGTGTAAAACCGTTGCGACATGAAACCCCATAAAGACTGCACTACATAGTGAGGCGATAGGTAAGTTGGGTTCAAGTAATACACTCGTTTTAGCTCACTTACCCGGGTTAGATATACGCGCACTTGAAAACGGGCTTGTGTTACCAGGAGATTGATGAATAGATTTCCAGATGTCAAAAGGCGCTTCTTCTTCTTCGTCTTCTTCTTCTCCTCCAGTTGCGCGTGCAGCTCTGTAGTCTGGGGCTAAACGCTGCAGCAACGACTCCACATCCTGTCCAGGAACTCTGCACTTCCCACTCTACCAAAAAACAAAAAGGGGAGAGGCCCACAGGCTGCCTGCTTTGGACCCTGACTTGGGGGGTCATAAACCAGTTAGGGAATACTGATTGCACTAGAAGTTCATAGGAAGCTTTTACTCCGGTAGAACTGTAATACCGACAGACTGCAGCTGTTTAAGTTCAAAAGTAGCAGTCCCTTGGGGGCCTGTTGTGTTATTTCTGTGGACATCTCTACCACTTCGCTTTGTGACTGGAGACAAAGTATGAGATAAATAAAGTAACTGAAATGTTGAACCCGGAGCCTGATCATAATAATAATAACCTGTATTTGGCCAAGTATGATATTCAAACAAAGAATTTGTTTCTGTTACAGAACCAAGGTAGACATCTGTGGCGCCAACTCACACCGATAACTCTGACCAATGGGGGCAACGTAGGGGTTCAATGTCTCAAAACGACTGCATGGAGGATGCGGGCATCGATCCCGCTACCTCTCGCATGCTAAGCGAGCGCTCTACCATTTGAGCTAATCCCCCGCGATAACAGCTTATATAAAGATGGGGTGTCCCCTCCGTGTCTTCTAACACACTCCCGCCTGCATAGTCTCCAGCTTCACGCCGCCTGACTGCTTTGCCTCCTGTCAGCCCAACGAAGCCTCCCTGTCCCGTCCACAACCTGCTCTGCATCTGTCCCGTTTAATACCTGCCCTGCCTTCGTTCCCCTCTCTCCTCCACCTAGTATCCGTTCCTTGTGTATCAAATAAACTCCTTTTGTGTCCAACTCCTGTGTGTCTGCCTATTGGGTCCACCAGTTACCTGCCCTCGTATGACAGTATAAAAGATAGGGTTATTATCTGTCTAAAATCTGCATTGTAAATGAATCAGACAAATATTGGCTTATTGTTAAGAAACAAAACGGATTAATTAAATTTTATCTTATGAAGCAAACATAAATACATTTAAAACATAATTTCAACTGTTTTAATTACATACTCAACTTTAAGATTCAAGTCATGAACATTATTTTTCCTAAAAATGTTCTTTAAATAAATAGAATTCCAGCATGAGCACATGTTATATCCAATCACCTCAGTGGGTTTCATGGCTTTAGGTTTTGTTTGTTTTTTTAATCACTGACTGTCAACTTATGTTATGGTCTCTGGTGATGGACATTACAGAGACACAAGAGTACAAATGTTTATGCTATCGTTTGCAGGAGGGTGTTATTTTTATGAGACATTATAACATCACAGACAGAGACACAAGAAAAACAGCAACACCCAAATACAGCAACAAAGAAATGTGGCTTAAGAAATCTATAAACAGTCTGACAGCAACTGTTTAAGGTAATTTTTCATTTATATAAAAGAAACTTCACTGTGTATTTGATATATTTATTGATCTATAAATAAAGAAAATATAAAGGTAAACAATAATAGTGTTTTCTTCCAAGGAGAGGTCTAATACAATTTTGGTAATTATGGTTAAAATATCTCCAATTTTCCATTCTTTATATCACAATGTAGTTTAAAGCACTGAAAGCACGGCTACATTTTAATTTTTAGATATTTAAACTTATTACAATAGTTTATCTTTCCCATGTTTTCCAGCCCTGTTCTGAATATGAGCTGGCAGTGGAGATTTCCTTTCTATTAGTAGAGCTGACAAAACACAACACACTACACTGAATTTATCCTTTACAATATACAGTGAGAGGTTTTTACAAGTGAGGACCAGTGCTGCAGTTTTAATTCCAACCCACCACTGAACCATTAAGTTCAATAAATACAAAGACCACAAAAAGCACAAACAACGTAACACATATGCTGAACAATTTGTAATGATCAATCAGCACTTCCCACAGTCTGAGATAATTTGACTATAAAGGAATATAATTGTATAACACAAATTAATATTATGAAAGTCATAATACACTCCAGCCTTTATGTGAGTTAGCTGAGTGGTGAATCCTCAGTGCGTCACTTGGCTACAACTTTCAGAACAGCACTAACTTAAACTTACTGTACTTTATTTTACTTGAGCATCTACATAGTGTCCACTGATATTTACAAGCATATCTTTGACACACGGACAAGATAATATGTAGATATGCTGGTTAAATCCAATATCCAATGAGTCATTGCTACTTGATGGTTGTCAGGCAAAGTTTCAAGCTCAGTAAAAGGATCATTCTTTAATTTTACAAATGCATATGACAGAAGATGTGTTGCGATATGTTTATAAAGAATCATGGGATTTCCGAAACATTCTCTATGGCAAAGTTCACCTCAGTTTCTCGGTTCTGGCCTCTGGTATTGTGCGTACTATGGACCATTAGAGACAATGACATGCACAGAGGGAATCCTCTGTGAAAGTACAGTGAAGTTGTACAGGAAGAAGGTGATGGCACAGCAGGTCACTCTAGAAGGGTGTGTCCATCTGGCTGCCCTTTGCAGCAGGTGGCACCACCCCATAACTTATCTCCTGCCACCTCAGCCACTGCATGTGGACCTCTTTCTGGACCTGTAAAAACACAAACATCAGGACACAAAAATGCAACATTTGGCTGTTCACACACTAGTAAGACAATGCTAGTAAGATGATATTAGTTTTTATTATTATTATTATTAGATTATATTAGTTTAAATCATTATGTTTTCTCATCTCATATGTTTATGTCTATGGTTATGCAACACTGCAATATAATATACTTAAAGCAATATCTTGCCATTTTGGGAACTACATGTAATGTGTCTGCCTTCTTGTGAAAACAAAGATTAGAAAATCAATGCCACTCTTACCTTTCAGTTAAATATAAGGCTTTCACCCAGGTTAGGTTACACTGGGTGGAATAGCTACACTGTAAAACATCACTGAGGAGTTTAGTGAAATCATCTTAATGAAAATGTATCGTTCCTTTCACATTCATTCAACATGTCTAGTTTTAATTTTCAATCTTTTTTTTTAAACAAAGACCATTTCTGAATTTATAAACATTAGTTGTTGTCACCTCAGATATTTTGAATTGAAATGAGGTGAATGTATGACCTGGTGAGAGTTTACTCAACTCAGTAACATTTATAAGACAGATATTGTTACTGTTAAACAGAGCTAGGCTTCTCTGTTTCTAGTCTTTATGCTAAGCTAACTAGCTGCTGGCTGTAGCCTCATATTTCACAGAGAGAGATGAGTTGCAATATTCTTATGTAGCTCTCAGCAACAAAGCAATAAGCATTACCCCAAAATGTTCAACAATTCATTTAACTTTAAAAACAAGACCTAGCTCAATGTTTGTTCTTGCAAAATTTAAGTCATTTATTTGATATTAATTAAGGTAGCAAGGTATAATTAGATTTATTATTGGGGTACCACTGAAACATCAGAACAATATTTACTGATAAACCACAGCTGTAAATTCAGCATTTTCATCTACTAGAGGATGTTGATTTAGATTGCATGAACAAATCCATTAGTCTGTTTGATAATTCAGTTCAAGTATTACCCATGTGGCCCTAAAGCACCTAACAGATGAACAGGGTTTTTCAGTTTCTACGCAGTGAATGTAAGACACACACTGCTGTTGCCCTTAGACTGTCTGAGTTGGTCTCACATTAACTTTGGTGAGCACATACTGTGTGTCCTTGGGATCCTTTTCCTATGCACTGGAGGGAAGAGAAGTGTTAGTTTTGCACAGCTGCGGCTCAGGATGTAGAGCCTGCTGTCTCCTAACCACATGGTTGGTGGTTTGATTCCTAGCTTCTCTGGTCCGTGTGTCAAAGTGTCCTTGAGCAAGACACTGAACTGGGCAAACAGTGTGACAGTGCTCTGAGTATATTGCAATGCACTGTAAAGCATTTTACAAATATGACTTTATTTACCAATTAATTTTGTATTTTAAGCCCTGAAAGCTCTAAACCTCTCACCCCTTGCTGGTGTATGATCAATGCCCAGTTTTATTATGCAACGGAGCTGTAAATCCTTTGTGTAATTGTTGAATATGTTATAGTAAATGCTTGAGAGTGGTGTGGCTTGTACTAACCTCTTGATTGAGAAAGCAATAGAGAATTGCCACAAGGAGCCCCTGTAAGACAGATGGCTGAAATCATTAACATTTAGTCCCCATCATTGACAGGATACTCATGTAGAGATAGCTTAAATGCCACACACAGATGAGAGTTGACGGGTTGAAGAATGAGAATTAAAAACAAGTCTGGAAAATCAATTATGTTTTGTGCACACAGCCAGAAAACAAGAGCGGAATAATAAATGGTTTAGATCCACATCTCAGTAATATACTGCTGTAAATACAAGCTGAGCTGGAGCTGTAAACCCTGCTGCCTTTGCTTTCATATTTCCAATAAACATGCTGGATGAAACTGGTCTTTTTTCTTTCACCTCTTTGGTCAATAAAGCCTTTGCTACAGCTACACAGGAACTTTAGTTACTAGTAGGTACTTCACACTTCTGAGCCTAATTCAATCGACTTTTCAAAAGGAAGCATTACAGGCTCAAAATCCCCTTTGCAGGTCTATCTGGCAAACCAGCTTGTACCAGAGGAAGTCACCTGACTTTTTCCTCACATCTGTGGCAGCTGCAAACACCCTGTGCCAAACTTCTCTCACATTCCCAACACAGCACTGCTAAGCCCCTTTCCAATACTTATCTTAACTATAAATTGTCAATCAAGGTGTTTCAAGTGTATGACCTATTTTTGGAATCTAGTGTTAAATCTGCTGCTCTGTTTAACAATCCCTTACATGAACTGTAAAAACTCTGCAGATCCCCTGACTTTTCCTCTAGTGCCAGCATCAGATCAAATCCTTGGTTTCTAACCAAAAACCTGCAAATGACATTCCCGTTAGCACCACCTGTGCTTTGTTATTACTCGCAATTAGCAACTGTTATCACCGGCATCATAATCATACAAACAACACATGAGGGCGTTACAAGATACATTATATTAAGAGATTCCATTATCTGTATGGGTTAGTCTGTGTGTTTTCAGGGTATTTGAGCATATACAATACATTGCTGTCAGAATACTGAGTGTTTATACAGTGCATGTATGTACCTGGAAGGATCCCAAGCAGAGCTCAATACAGAAGCGCAGGTTAACATTGAAGTAGTTGGGCAGAAAATTGAAGAACATGTAGTGCGTACCAAACAAAGGGATGAGCAGGAGAGTGGACTTAGTCAGGCGTCTGTTGCACAGAAGCAAAGAAACAGGATACAGGAGGTGAAGCTACTTGAGATTAACAATTTATTGTACATCTCATGTGAATGGTGCATCATGGGTGCAGACACGTTAATCATCAGTGTGCGTATGTGTGAGCCAGTCAGAACACAGCTTTTGTTAATGAGTGAAAAGACAATAGCAGGTACAAAACTAAAAGCGATGCTATTAAAATAGGAGTTCAGATGTCATTTTTCTTATGTGTAGGTGAACATTATCTGCTTCAACTGAGTGCAGCATCACTTAACCTACCTTTGGTATGTCTAAGATCCAGTTATGCATGATGTTCCTGAACACGTCTGTTCAATTAGTGAGCTTATTTTAATTAGAGAGTTGAAAAGCTTCTTGGGAGATGAAAAGATAGACTTGGACAGACTGACTAGTTTGTGGTTGAATGAAGAGCATATTGCCCACTGAAGTGTATCAACAGTTTTAACACAAGTTCACAATCTTTCAAAACAACAAAAACATATTTGAAAATGTGTCCATCAGACTGAAAAAAAACTGTTCAAGATAAACAAGTCACACTGACACAGCTTTGAAAATTCAGCACCGTGTGAGCAAAAGATGAAAGCTAAAGTTGATAAAAGCACATCTCAAACCTAAAAAATGCTTACAGTTGGTCAAAATATACTTCTTTCTCTGTTTTCAAATTGCAGTAATGACTAAAATAGAAGATACAGTACGCTCACATTATGTCAGCAACTGTGTCAGCGGCTAAATCACCTGTACTGAGAGGAGGTATTGAACTGGATTAGCCGAGAATTCAGCTTCTGTATTAGGATTCTGATGATGTTCATGAAGAGCATAAAATTGACCTGTTGACAGGAACGGCAAGAATGAAAAGTTATTAAAAAAAAGTTCAGCTTTATTGTGGTAGATCTTTGATTAGATGTCAAGACAACAATATGGGAAGTCATGTGTGTACTGTTACTGGCCAAGACTGGCTGTTGACTTACTATTCTAACGTGTACAAAACAGCTTTTTAAAAAAATGCTTTTTCTGTTATTTTCACTAAAAAGAAAGTAAACAATTTGCACAACTATCTATAATTAGCTAAGTGCATAATTAACAGTCAACATTTTGTTTGCTTCAGTACAATGGGAGCTTTTACCGTTATAGACACAGTAATTGGTCCTTTGATGATCCACCAATAGGGTGAGTCCTCGTTGATGTCCCAGCATCTGTGTGGAAAGACATTTTTTAAATGTGCAGTTTAGTCAGTCTGCAGGAGTTATCTTCAAGTATAATGCAAGATGAAGTCAAATGACCATAGAATAAAAATAATCCCCTAACAAACAACAAATAGTGGTGAGTACAAGATAAATTATTAAGTAGCTCATAAAAGTAAAAACAGAAAAATGTACCTTAAAATTTCCTCCTTTACTTTCTCATCAAACACCTACACTGCATATGATAAAATTATTTCATCACCATGCGATGCTGTTGCTCTGTTACAGCCCTTACCTTTAGTTACAGTGGTGGTCATTGATAAATCATTGGCAGTTTGCTGTAAATATATATGAGAAATGATGGAGACTATATGGAGATGGTGATTTATACAAACTCTGTGTCCTCAAAATACACCCTGGATCCAATCCACAGGGTGATGAACAGCACAGGAACACCTGTGGAAAAGCAGGAGCCCAAAGCTAACATTAGTGAGATGCAATCAGTACACACTGAGTTGGCTGAATCATAATTAGACTGCCACCATTGTGTGAACCGGTTTCCTGAATGCTAATGTCTGCACTGATGTATGCAGCAAGGGTTCAAAGTAAATGTCATATTTCAAAGGCTATAGGAGTACACATGTACAGTTTACAAGACACAATACTAACAATACTACTGTGCATGTTCTCATCAGATTCTTGCGTCACTGGGACAAATTCCTGTACTTTCATTGTACGTGGCAAAGTGGTAGTTCGGTTCAGTTTGTTTGGTAATTACACTTGATGGCACTGAGCCAGGAGAGTTTCTGGCTGTATTAAAATAATAGGCTGGAGATGTTTGCTGATGGCAGGCTGTCTGCTTCTTGTTGTCCCTACAGACTGCTGTGAAAGTCCTTTGAAACGCATACTGCAGTAAGCCACAAATGAAAGTATAAGCTCAATACATTTAAAATCTGTAATCAGTATCAGGAAGATACGTGTTTCAATTTGTGCCAGTATGGCCCTCAACACTGTTCTCTTAAGACCACTGTGTGGCAGCAATGAGTAAATAAGGAGCACAGCCAAAGTTAGCTAAAGAAACCGATGTGTCTCATGTTTACACAAAATGAACAATTTGATTCATAATAATGCATGGTTTACTATTTCATAGAACTACGGGTTTATTTACTTTTTACATGTTTTTCAAATGTGCCACCTCTCTCTGATTAAGTGGCCCAGCATGGCCACCTCGTCCAAAATTTTCTAGATCCGCCACTGTTAGCATGTCACTACTGGTCACATAAAACTTTGAAATCTGGTTTGTTTCTCTTTCCTTAATTTGAAAGTGTAACTTGCCTTCAGACAACATGGATTTAATAGGCTACAGAGATGAATACTCAAGTATCTGTGAGTTATAACTCATTTTACAGTCCTTGCATCTATTTCCTACCATATTTAGAAAGCACCGCACTTTATTTTTCAGCCTTAGGGATATTATACTTTAATTGTGTGCTATCTCTATCTCAGTGGAACCAAACTCTACAGCTCAGCATAAGAAATGTCAGCAGGTCAAACTTTCTTACCCCATCCCAGCAGGCTGAAACTCCAGAGGCATCTACGGCTATGATAGGCCGAAAGCAGCAGGGAATTGAGGTAGAGTGCCTCCACCAGGAGCCAGAAAAAATTTGTCATTACACAATAGTGAGAGAAGACCACAGAGGCCTTACAAGCAAACTGTTCAAAAAACAGGAAGGAAAAGAAGGACAGAAAATGGTAAGGATTCATCAGAGGAGACATTCACACACATGAGGAAAGCAACACATAAACACAAGGACAGGGAAATCTGCCCAGAGGAACTTCTTATTACAACTAAAAACCTCTCATCCATTATCTTACTGTGGAAAGGGTACAGTGGTTTGTGTCGTCACTTGAGAACAGAGTAGTGTCCCTTATGAACACCCCCACAGCCTTCAGGATAAACGTAATGAAGAGCTGGATATGAATGAAGTTCCTGGCACAATGTAGCCTCCTGTTGAACAAGACAGGCAATGAAGTCAGTTTGGAGGCAAAAAGTGTGAAAAAAGTAATAGTTAAAAATGTGCTATAATATCTGAGGAACAAACACTGTGGTTAAGTTATGGAAGTGATGGTTGTGGGTGTTGTGGTATAATGTCAAGGTGATTTCATAATGAATAGACCAGCTGTAACCACACTCACCAGCTGGATAGAGAAAAAAAAGAAAACGTTAATTAAGGTATTGTATTTCTACATGCTCCTACTTCATCTGTGGGTGAGTGTGAGGAGACCCTTGACCTTATGTCAATCACTTGATAAGTGCACTATAGCACCTGTTAGGTCCACTACATGTCAAAGAGGGAAAATATTGGAGCTGAGAGGTCTGACACAGAGATAGACACAGTACTGTATGTAAGGGGAAATTATGATTTGTTTGTTTGTTTGGTTTAGGTTTCTTTCATTTGGTTGTTTTACATCATAACAACTGACTTCATAATAATTTTGTTCATTTTTCACTTTGCATTTTGGGTGAGTAGATCTAAAATGACTGCAAAAGAATTACATTATTTCTCTTCCTAAAATAAAAAATATGACATCCTGCAAAATATGTTTATTTGCTTTCTTGATGATAGCTTGCATTCTTGAAGATGAATATCTCTCCTATGAGTGTATGACCCTAAATATGAAGCTAGAGCAGGCAGGATTAGCCTACTAACCTGCTTACATAACTCCTCGTAAAAGTACAATTTAAAAATTTTACATTTATGTTTGTGTATGGGTTACAAAGTGGCAAACAGTACAATATGTAAATTAATAAAAATGTAGAAGTATTGGCTGCCAGACCTTTGTACTTCTGCTTTCAGTCTTTATGCTAAGCTAAGCTAATGATTTTCTTGCCCACAACTGGTGAGTGGGGTTTCATTATATCCAGGACTAAGTGCCTTTTTTTTGTACACTACATCGATACTGGAAAAATGCCTGGCTTGGTCTTGGGTTTACCAAAATTCACTAGTTACTGAGTCAGTCCTTTCTCTGGACAGCCAAAACTTATTTTAATGTAAGCTGCTCCTACCTGAAGAACAACAGGATCAGAACAGCAACGGCCAGTACTGCTAGAGAAATGCTGTAGCCAATGGTGTATATGAGCTTCACAGTGGCAAAGTATGACTGCTCTGTCTAAAAGCAAGACAAGGTGATTTTGTAAGACAGGACTTTAAAGTCAAACATCAAAGCTTTGCAAAATGCTGTCAGGATTCAAAATGAATGTAATGTCTCTAAATGAGGCAAAATTGCGGATACTTGTAAGCTTGAAACTTAACTGTACTAAAGAGATGACTGCAGCATAATGATAAAAAAAAAGGCTGTCTACTAGCGGTAAGACTGAACTAAGCAGACAGCTGAATCAACTCAACAAACAACATGGAAAAAACACTTAATTGCTTGTTTTTGAAGCCTTAAAATGTCCTTTTAAACTCAAGACAAAAGATGCAAGACACAAGTATTTGTCTCATAATTATCTTCCAAAAAACTGTTCAGTAAGAGTAAGCACGATTTTCTCTTTATGAAAAAGGATAATTTCAGCTATTATCACATGGATGACACTCGATTCACCTTCTGCTTCACAAAAGTATCTTCACAGCAGGCACATTTTTGTCGACTTTTGAGAGGCAGCAGAGCAGCAAGCCTATACATTTAAATCTGAACTACCCAAAAAGAAGCAAAGGCAGGTAACTGGGTAGCACTTTCACTTCAGACTGCAGATAGACTGCACAACAATTTCATCGAGTACCCCTTGAAACGTGGTACATTTTTCTTCTGTAATTTGGCTTTTTGATGGGTGTTCCTTCAGTGTATTTTGATTATTCTTCCTTTTTCTGTTGGTTTGTTCCTGCTGCTTCTCCCTCCATTTCTAATTTTCTCCCTCTGAGTCCAGAGTCACTCATTCCCCAGTCTGACATCTTTTTCTGCTGCATCTGCAGCTCTCACCTCAGGAATGTCATCATCCACACTGCAAGCGGAGTGGTATGCTGGGAAGGGACTGGACCAGCCTCCACTGGTGCAGTTACGGCTCACTGAGCCTGAGGTGAAAGGGATCAAGAATTCAGCTCAGCCATGAAGAGATTACCTTCAGAGCAGAATCACTATCAAGAAAAAACATATTCAAGGTAAAATAGCCATACTAGCGGTGGTGGTGCCAGCCCATTACTGTGGTTCAGACAGAATATCTCAACAACTACTGGATGAATTACAATGAAATCTGGTACAACCGTTCATGGTGTCCACAGGACAAATCCTAATGACTTTGCTGATCCTCTGCCTCTTACTGTATGGCTAAGCTGCTAGTATTGCCACTTTTTCTGTTATATATCCCCACATGTATGTCATTATTGTTTGCTCATTTGTTAAACACTTTCATGGGTTTCCTTATCGGCATGCAAAATGCAAACCAGATAATTTGCTTATTGAGTAAAAACTAATTTGATTGCAGTCTCCTGTGACAATATGGCATGCCTGGGCACTGAGAAGCAACATGAAACTAATTCATAGTACATAAAAAAACAAATAAGTAAATGAATGACTGAATCAATCAATAGATAAACTTTATGAACTCATCAGGATCACAAACACCCCTTTGCTTTCATTAGAACATCAGTTCAGCTTGATTTTGACTGACTGGCAAACATGCTGCTCTCATGATTATCTCCGCACCAACACCCCCACCCACCACCACACCACCCCAAACACCCTATATGTTCACCATGTGATCCTTCCTTAAGTCACCTGTGCTGTTTTTGAAGAGAGAGAACACTGCAGGACAAGCTTTGTGAACTGTTTCCCCAACAGCTGCAGGAGGCCAGCAGGTGACTGCATCCCAGAATGGCTGACAACCTTTTCAGAGGAGGATTAGAAGAATAAAGAAGATTTTAAAAAAGTAAGCATGTGCCTGTCAGGGCAGTTAAAAGATAAGACTGGTCATTTTCTATATTAACAGTATTTTCAATACTCCCTATACAGATAATAAAGCCAACAATGAATTGCCTCTACTCGCGGTTAGTATCCGTCATGGATCAGGTTGTTTGTCTGTACCACAGACCTCCATTGTTGTTCATAAATTATTAAAAACACGTTAGTGAAACATAGAGCTGCACTGGGTGACATGTTTCTTCATTAGTAAACCCCAGACCATGACGAGCTACCAGACTGTCAACAAAGCAGAGCGCTTGTGCAAGAGTTTACACATGTGTAGTTGACTGACTTGTGATAACTTCAGAAAATTATGGCCACTCAGAGCCTTTGGGACAACATAGTCAGGTCTGGGGTTTTGTAATGAAAACCAGTGTCATCCATTGCAGTGGTGTGTTTCCCTTATGTGTTTTTAATCGTTTTTGAACACCAGCGGAGGTCTGTCACACAGACGAACAAGCTACGCCAAGACTGATACACTGACAGACATTAACCATGAGTAGAAGCAATTCATTGTCAGTTTTAGTCTCTATGCTGTATGAGGATTGCTGAAAATGCTATATATATACAGAAGATGACTGACATTATACTTTAATAAAAGATGACAATGTGTGTATAAATGCCTATTTTTACACACTGTCATACACAACCTCTCAAAATGCAAACAATTTAAATATATACTTATGGCAATTCAGTAGAAGTAAATGGGGATATCATATACAATACAACATTCTTCAAAGCCATAGCATCCACCTCTGTGTATATGGTTAAGAGAAGAATGGGGGAGTGCTGTAACACTCCAGTCAATATTTCTCTTGAGATACTGTAAATTACATACATAAATCCTTATGTAACTAAATTTAATGGTGTGATCTCCTCACCCAGTGCATTTTTATTCTGCAGTTGAAACGCCATCAACAATCTGCCCTGAGATCTGTAAAGTATTTAGACTCTTGTACTTAATGTGAACATTTACCAATACTGCAGGGTAGTTTCACAATAGAAAACATACCTTCATTGATTCTATTGGCCTGCTCTGCAATGTACTGAAGACAGTGATGCTCCTCTTTCTGCAACTGAAATATGTACTCACATTCAGGGTGCAGGCTCGCTAAAACCTGCAGATAGAAAAGACAAAAAAAGGAGAGCGAGAGGAGAAAAGACATTTAGGCAGAGGATTCTGTGACCACTCAGTCTGTTAATTACATGAAAAGGGCATTTCATGTGTATGAAAAAATGCATGTCAGTGCAATTTGTAAAGGGCAGTGACTCATTTTGCACATATGCCTTACCTTTAGCAGGAAATACTTTTCCACTAAAAGGCTAATTTCCAATGCTGGCATTAAGCAAAATAATCTTTCACTACAGTGCACAGAGAGGGAAAGCTGGGACAATTTCAATGAATATGTTTCACTCTAAGAACACAGATGATTGTCTTGGCAGACAACACCGTTCACCTCCATCCATTTAGTGCCACTCAGAGATTCTTGCATTTGCCCCTCCTCATCCCTCCATTTCCTGATGTCAAAAAAATGAATTTGCATTTGGCATTGGTCTGACATTTATTTTAGACTGAAAAATAATGTAGATGTTGGAGGGTAACATGGGGAGAGGATAGGTGGTGAAAATACCAGTAAAGAGGACAGGAGTGTCATGACTCTGAGGTAATTATCCATTTGGCTGTACCTCTTTTAACTATGAGTGTGCATGTAGGTCAGGGCACTATAAGCTCAGTCTGCGCCAGTGAATATTTGCTTTATGTAAAAAATTACAAGGTTTAACCCTTGTGCTCTGTTCGGGTCTGTGGGACCCGGAGACACATGTCACCTTAAAAACAACAATATATATAAATGGTTATGAGCTGATATAATCTAACTTTTGTGAAAATGTATAAATATTGCAGTGCTGAGTTGGGCATCATGCATTTTTGAATACTGCAGCTAATACAGTGATGATGAACGATGTTGCTGACAATGACAGCTGTAGAGACATGACAGTTTTGAAAGGGGGGTGGGTTTTGACACAGTATGGATATGAATATTGAACATGTGTATTTGGCTTGGGTAAGGTCCACTAGTAGAGTTGGATTCCACATGACAGGAATGTCAAGAAAAGGTTTTTAAAAAAGGCAAACAGGCCAGAACTGAGTTTGAAAAATTCCTCTGCTGTTTTCTAGTTTGCAGTTAGACTCTGTGATCATGTTCATATCCACATATATTACTTTCTTATATATTATTTTCTTGCTAAAGCCTACGTTTTATAATGCAAATGATCACACATCATACTGCCTTGAGGAGTCAAGTGAAAAAGTCATCACCACCAAGTGAAAGTGAATTAAGTTCTCAGGTATAAAAATATATACTGATGTCAATGGTAAAAGTGATTTCGTCCTTATTATATTACAAATTAAATTTAATAATAAAAAGCCCATCTCTGAACCCACTGATCTGGTTGGTGGTGGGGCATTTGGTTTGGATAGGCCACACCACTATGGGTTAAATTCTTTTTTTTGTTTCTTTGTTTGTTTGGTTTGCTTTTTTATGCTGCTCAGTGGTTTGACTCTAAAGGTCAGAGCAGGTGTCTGGCTCTCGTTTGTGAGCTCTGACATACTGTTACAGTGTGTTTCCTGATTAAATGCCTTCCATGGTAATGATACTGTAATATCTATCTGCTACATTTTAATTTGCCAATATGGTATTACATTTCATTTCACTCTCTATATACAGTACAGTTTCATGTGTTACCACACTCTCTGATTTTTAAATACACTTTATATTGGCAAAACTAAAAACCACATGCTTCTATCTCTAAGATAGGCCAGGGCGAGGGGAGACATTGCGTTCCTGAGGTATGACTGACTAGTGACCAGACCTCGGAACCAGGATCCAGGACCCAGGACCAGCACGCCCAGGATGCCAAGACAAGGAGATGAAGGGGTCGCTGGACCCTCAGATGTATGAAGAGTCACGCAGGTATATCAATATCTGCGACGGCAGATGAGCGTTGAAACTAACAACAACAAGCATGAGCCATGTACGGAATGATGCAAGTGATTTGTTACAGAAATTAATAGATTTTGAGGGACTGGAGCTGGAACTGAACACTACTGGAGATACTGAAATTCATTATCGTGAACCGGACGAAGATTTTGACTCTGAAATAAATTTTTTAAAGTACTCTGAAAATAACTGCAAGTATTACACGGATGAGCAGTTTAACAGCAATGTTAAGACTGAGAACAAACTATCATTAATTCACTTTAATAGCAGAAGTTTATACGCAAACTTTCAGAGCATAAAACATTATCTTAGTAGTGTAAAACATTCTTTTAATATAATTGCTATTTCTGAAACATGGATTAAAAACTTTTATTACCAGAAGGTAGACAAAATGTCTAGGGTAGTTGATGAGTTATTGGAGTGTGTGATGGTTGAATTACTGTTGGAAAAAAAGAAGAATGTTGTGATAAGCTGTATCTACAGCGCACCTGGAGCAAGCATAAACA